TTGAACAGATCTTACATGAATATCGAAAAGAATTAATTATTAAATAATATAAAATTTGTTTTTTAATATTTTAAATAATCATAACTTATTTTATATCATTAATTATATATTTTAGTTCCATAAATTTGTTTTTATGATCATTATTCATCTCAAATACTGCATCCATTTACAATTCCTATTTCCACCCAATTGTCACATACTTAAAAACTCAATCCCAACATCCAACATACATTTAAACAGCACACAAAATCATCAACGTAAACATCAAGGGTCCATGTTTAATAAACAAAAGAAAAAAGAATTCATATTTAACATTGAAGAGAAAAAATAAAAATTAAGATATCACTGTTTAAGAAATTATTTAAATATTTTTAATAAATTTCTTTATATGTTATTTTACTAAAAATATTTAAATAATTTCATAAAATGTTATTATATTTTAATTATCAAGACGTTTTTGATATTTTGCAATCCCAATATTAAAACACCAATAAAACCACTTGAACTCAAAACGGTACATAAGAAAATAGGTTAAATGTTAAATTTGGTCTCTCAACTTTAATGAGTTGCACATTTTTGGTCTCTCAATAATTTTTTGCACTTTTTTGATCCCTCAACTCTAAGAAATACACACTGTTAGTCATTCTGTCAATTTAGACCGTTAACTTCGTCATATGGCATTTTTTATATTTTTTTTGATGACATGACAAAAATAACTTTAAAAAGTGTTGATCTGAAATTTTTTTTTAATGACACGTCAATACCAACTCATAAACCAAATTTGATTAGCATTTATATTTTTAATAAAATAATAAAAAAAATTCTATCCATCTTCTTCCTTTCTTTTTTCTTTCTCTTTCTTCCTCTTCTTTCTTCCTCTTCTTCCTCTGTGTTACTGGGTTCCCTCGAACCCAATTGATCTGGGTTCAAGGGAACCCAGCTCAGGTTCGATGGAACCCATCTGCTGGGTTCCACTAAACCTAGCTCGGGTTCGATGGAACCCATTTGCTAGGTTACATCGAACCCAGATCTGCTGGGTTCGATGGAACCCAAGTTGGGTTCCGTCAAACCCAGCAACTGGATTCGGTGAACCCAGCTCCACTTTTTTCTTTTTTTGTTATATGTTTGTTTGCCAAGAGATTATGCAAATTGCAGGTTGTGAGGGATTTTTGGGATCCTTTTCTTCATATTTCCTAAGTATTATCTAAATGATTTCAATGTTCAAAATGAAAAGAACAGAAACAGTGACCAATGGGCAAAGAAGCAATTCTTAGTGGGTTTCCATTTGTTTGGCTAGAAAATTGTATAATTTTGGTGTGTGGATGCTGAGAAAATGCTTTGAATTTGTTTGGTTACCGAGAAAACTATAATGTCC